GTGATATTCTTTGAGCTCTTCTTCCGAGATGCCTAATTGCTTAAATGTATTCCAATACAGGATGTCGGCCGAGCTCCCCTGGTCAATTAGTGTTTTTTGAACAGTGCAGTTAAGAATGTCTACACTAATTACCATGGGATCATCTTGCACCAGATCGACTCCTTGAAAGTCGTCGTCAGTGAACGTAATAGGCGGGATCCAGATTCCGCTGCCCAATGAAACATTATTAACCGAACAGACATGCCTAAGATGCCTCTTTCTAGCTGAATGGGTATGTCCTCCACCAGCAAACCCTCCGACTATGGTGTTAAGGATGCTTCTCTTGCTCATATCTTCTAGCTGGAGGTTCCCCAGACCTGCTCCTATGTCGTTCAAATTTTTTGCTGTCAGATCTCCTTGGTGATTCAGGGTGACGGTCTCTTCCTTTGTTAGGTTGCCTTGTGGGATTTGTCTGTATGAAATCTTTTAAGTATCCGTCCTTAATTAATTCTTCAATTTTGTCTCTCAATGCTGTACACTCCTCGGTAGTGTGACCCCTGTTTTGATGGTATCGGCAAGACTTGCTTTTATCTGTCCGAGGAGGAGTGTTGACGCGTCTAGGCATTCTCAATATTTCTGTGGCCAACGCTTGATCAAGTACTCTGGACCGATTAGTGTTGAGCGTAGTGTAAGAAGGATACTTAGGTCCCCGAGGTGGTCGTTCAAGTTCATTTCTTCTGCCGTTTCCCTGCCTTGCTTTAAAAGCCTCCCTCTTTTCTGCATTTTTTGAGTTAGATCCTTGGTCCATCTGTACCTGGTTCCAGTACTCGGATAATTCTTCCATCTGCATATACTTCGCAGCCCGACTCCTTAACTCGTCTAGGTCAATCGGGGGTTTTTTTGCAGAGGCTATTAACGAAGGGTCCTGGCTTTAACGTTGTTGTGAGGTGGTGCATAGCCACTGCTGGTTCCAAGTTATGAATTGAAAGAGTCACTTTGCCAAAGCGTTCCATGAACGCTCTAAGTGATTCTCCTTTCTCGGCGAATATTGACTAGGGCCAAGGATGTTAAGGGATGAGGCCGGCTTGTGGCAAACTGCAAGTTGAAACGTCTTGTGAGAGTTGCAAAAGAGTCTATGGATAAAGGGGGGAGTCGGGTGAACCAACTGAGTGCAGGTCCTCGGAGTGAAGTAGGAAAAATTCTACACTATAAGGCGTCGTTTTCTGTGTACAGATCGACTTGTGTTGTAAAGACATCCACATGTTCTCCAGGGTCAGATGTGCCATCGTATTTGTCTATTGCCAACCCTCTTCAATTATCGGGCAGCTTAGCCTCCAAAATGTGGTGAACGAATGGGCTCTGGTTCACAAGATCGTCCCGGTCATTTCTGGTTGTCGATTGATAGACTTGCCTTGATTTCTCTTGCAGTGCTAAGGATTCCCCTTGATCTTGGATGACGGGTGTAGTTTGGGAGGGGACATGTGTCCTTATCTCTTCCCTTAAGCCGGCATTTTCCCTTCTTAGGGCCGAGAGTTCCAGTGCATCTCTTTCGTGCTCCTTCTTCATCTCCATCATTTTTGCCTTAAGCTGCCTCAGTACAGCTAGAATGCTTTCCTCTGTTCCTCCCTTCATCACCACTTCAGGTACTGGTTCCTCTGGTGTGACGCCCTCCATTTGTTGCCGAGAGGTTCCTTCCTGCTGGCTTCTCGTCATTACCATGCTTAATCCTGAAGAATGAAGTTAATCGCGCCCCACGGTGGGGGCCAAAATATTCCTTCTTGAGGAATGGCTGTCTTTAACCTCTGATCTGACGTCCTTCTGGCGATTGTTGATGTGGAAGGGTACCTGCAAAAGGCACTCCGATGTTGAAGTCAGGATTCGGCTCGGAGTAATAAATGGTATTCAATAATAAAAAGTCAACCTCCTACCTGCTCTTTCTACCTTTCTTTTATAGGCACTGTAATGGGCTAATGGGCCTGAGTTAACTTTTACTTTTGGCCCTTTTTATGCTTTGAATAAAATTCTAATTATTATTTATCTTTGAATCTTAGAGATACTGATTTAGACTAGCCGAATAGGTATTCAGTTTCCTTTCTTCTATATGTAGGGTCCATCAGTTCCCCTATCCAGTACACTGGTGAAAACATATATGTCAGCATTGTTCCAAGTTTTTGGATCCCTTCCAATAGCCCACTCATTAATAAGGATTTGTGCACCCTGTTGGAATGGTGTAGCCATTGAGCTCTACATCTTCCTTGGCCTTTCAAGGGAGTAAAAGTGGAGCTGCTGGGTGCAAGCGAAAGGTCTCCTTTATTATTGCTTGCAAGTAAGGGAGTTTAGAAATGTCTGATTCCCCAACTAGTTTACCTTTTCCAACGGTTTCTTCAAGTTCTTTTTTGGCTTTTGACAAGGTTTTTGGGTTGTGAAGTAGCTCAGCCATTGCACATTCTAATGTATATGCAGTTGTATCAGTTCCAACAACAAGTAGATCTTATCATTATCACAAACCACAACACTTATATATATATAGGCATGAATCATATAAGGGTAATCTACTACATGATAGTTACTTATATTATAGTAGTTTATAAGGTTCAGGAAAATACATACATGTAGTAAATGTTTAATCTTTTCTTTGTCCATGTCCTCGCTGTTCTCTTTAGAAATGTCAAGCAAGGCGTCTAACATGTCATTCTTGGTGACAAAACATTTCCCTTCTCGCAGCTTCAACCTCTCATCAATTAAGTCGCCAAAGACATTGAACAACTTGCCAACATAAAGGGCACAACTCCTTTTGATGCCTTGTGGGTCAACTATCTTCAACAAGGGGAAAAAATCAGCTAGGTTTGGAGTTCCAACGACTTTCAAGATGTTCACTACTATATCCTTGTACTCTCCAGTGTCAGTTGAAGAGATAACAAAATCCAAAGAAAATAAAGTGTTTGATACAAAGTTGATTGAAATATTGAAAGCTGCTCTCCCAATATCCACTGTTTTACCGGTTAGGGTGCTTTGGTGGACATCATTGAGGAGTTCATGCATTTTCCTCCGCCTAAGGTATTGGCTTGCATTTAAAGACTTGTTGGAGCATAATTGATTGTTACATATTTTTCTCATGTCTCTCCAAAGAGGTGAAACAGGAAGAAAGGCTAAGTTATACTGATCATGGTTGTGAACAGTTACAGCTTGAGGTACAGTTCGGTCTGAAAATAACAGATCATGGGTTTGGAGAACCTTTTTAGCCATGTCTGCTGAAGAGATTATTATGGTTGTTACTTGGCCTAGCTTTAAACGCATTACTGGGCCATGAATCTTAGCAAGCTTTGCTAAGGATTGGTGTGGCTTTTTTCCTAGTTCAAGGAGGTTTCCAAAGATGGGAAGAGGTGAGGGTCTAGGCGGAAGCTTATTATGGTTTGCTTTCTTTTTTCTTGCATGAATAATAGCCTATGTGACAATGCATGTCAACAGGAGGATTAGCACATAGCTCAGTGTATCCATATCTAATTCACACAAAAGCATGCAAAAAAAAAAAGCCTAGAGAGGGAAATTGTTGATGCTTTGGGTCTATTACGAAGCACCCTATTTATAGTACATCTCAATCAAACAGGAGAAATTAAGATAGTCTCATTAAATTTAGTTTCATAAAAGTCTACTTATGTCTATACATGTATTTCATATTTGTGTGTATGGCTTGGGCGAATGGACTAATGAAGTGATATAAAGATATGAGTTTTAAGTTGTGAAAATTTGACCCTTGAAAACCGAGATAATAAGAATAAAAAGTCTAATTCTTTGCATTAAGAGCATTCACAAGGTCCTAATACCAGGCTCTGAAAATCGGTTTCACAAATTAACCTAGACTTGTTAAACCCTAGACTCAGCCAATTAAGAACATCTCTATTTGTATATTATTCTCATGTTGTGTATATTAGATGGTTACAAGCAGTATATCCATTGAATAGTGTCGGATAATTTCTTTTGCCTAATGCTCAAAGCACCTAGACTCAGCGGAATTAACAATACAGAAATACAAACAAACTCGAATACTATTTGGATAAACCATATGTTTTCATTTTGGAGTCTGCTATCTCCTCTGTTCTTGTAGTATTTGCATTTTTTTATTCAGCGATAATTTATTTATTTAACTTATAAATAAAATGGGTGATTTTTCTATATCAATTTTATTTTCTTTCGAATTATTATTATTTCAAATTAAAAACTATTAGAACAAACTTTTTTTATTTTTGTAAAACTTATAAAACTAAATCTTTTGATTAAAAAATATTTTAAGAAATCAAACTAAAGCACACAATATCTTACTACTTCAAGCTCTATTTATAAGAAGAAACTATCAATATTTTATTATTATAAAAAATAAATACTCATTTTTAAATGTATTAATTACTAAATCCTTTTTATAACCTTATTTATTGTAAAATTTGTATTAACAAAATACTCACCCTTTCCATGAGTAGACACATTCCTTCTTTTTATACTATGATATTTCTAAAATAAAATATAAATTCATCACATACTTTTTAGTAATTTTGATAAATTAAGTATATATATATCCTATAAATAGGATCAAAGATAATAGTTTGAAGAGTGACCTCCTTGCTACTCAGATCATTTGGTCTAAATATTTTCAGCGGATAAGACAAAATTTCATAATTAGTTCGGCTTACTCCGTTCTTCCGAACTTAAAATTATATAGTTTGGGATTTTAAACTACAAAATTTTAAAAACGATTGTGCATGTCAAGTGGCCTTTACCAATAGTTTATGAATTTCAAGGAGAGAAGGTATTTTGCATTATTTGTTTACATTTTAAAGTCGTTTGCACACACTTAAACTACAGAGTCTGGTTTACCCATGGTCACCTTTCTTATTTTTCTATAATTGGGTTAAACTCACTTGAGTAAGTAGATGTATTTGACCACTAAACCAGCTGAAGATAAATCATGATGCAATTAAACGGGACACTCCCACGAAAATATCACCGCAGCATGAACAGAGAAAGGAGGAGAGAATCGAAAATAAATATACTGTTCATGGGAAGCATAAAGTGTTGGAAACGGAGCACAAAGTTGTCAAAAATTCAAATTACATAGGGATATATGTAGTTTCGTAAACTTCATGTTTTTTAAGCCCCAAATGACAACAAAACACACATTACAAGCGGGAAAAAGATGCACGGATCGAGTTGTTGGATGACATCTGTCAGGTTTCTTTGTATACATAAGATAGATGGCTTTGTCTGGCCAGCAGCAAAGGACCTCAACCTGTGTAGGAATCATGAACAAAAGAGCATTGGAAACTTTAACATTACACTGCCCAACTTCAAGTTCTCTTCCCCTAACCAACCCGTTTTAACTAAATATTATACCCCATATATGTTGAATTGAGATTTGCGGATATATCAATGCACGTATGCAAGGTTAAGAACAAAGAAAGAAAGATATAATAGGCATTCTTGACACCATTGATTATAGATATATGAGGAGAAAAGTGAAAGTAAATCCCCACTTCCACTCTTTCGCCTTCTTGTGGTAAGTTGTAACACATACAGAAGATGTAATAATTTTCTATCTTCGTAATATGCATATCCTTAGGTCACATTTTTGTAGACATTGATTCTTGTCAAAATTCTCAATTCACCGCCTCATTTTTCACTCTTTAATGAAGGAAAGAGTGCAGCTGAGCATTAAGACAATGACGGGAGATTTTACACTTGTTTCAATTCAGGGAACTATGAGAACCAGAATGCTTATAATGACATATAAGTGCAAGGTCGTGAGCTAAAATGTTTACCTTCAGTTGCAAGAAACATATATATACAATTAGGACTCTGATGCAAGAAGTCCCATTTGTTGAGTAAGACGTTCAACGTGCTGTATCTTATCAATTTTTTCCTGCTTATTTTCCTTGTCTGAAGGAAAACCCAGATCTTCTATCAAATCACATCCTAGAGAGCTACATTTGGTTTCTTCCATGTCTGCAGTAACTGGGCTTGGCCTTAAAAATAGTTCCCAGAATTCATCATTGATTCCTGGGAGTTTGGAAATTTCACCTGCATCAGGTGAAAAATGATCAGCTTCTATAGAGTCTGTCCCGTCCAAAACAGCTGACATCATATCTATATCCTCCATGTTCCTAATTTCAGCCCCCATAACATTCAGATTATGATTCAGTAAACTGCTTTCTGTCTCCATCTCTTGACTTTTACAAAGATCCGAAACATTTTCTTGACAATTATGCAAACTTAATTCTGGAAATTCAGTTGTTTTGATAGAGTCAGCCAACATAGCAGGGGAAGACTGCTCCTCAGATATGCTACTGGGCATACAATTGGCAGGAAATTGTGATCCTACTTCCATACATGTTAGCTCAGAAATAGGTGGAACCACAGAAAGGATCACATCAGAAACCTGTGTCGATGAACTACTGCTATCTAATGCAATGGCAGAAGGAACATCGTCAAGAAGGAAAACATCAGGGTTCTTGATTGATGATTCTGTTGTCTTAGAATTGTTTATTTGCAATATCTGGCGAAATAATGCTTTTGCAGCCTCATTTATGGAAGTCTGGTACTTGACAACGTGTCCATCAAAAGCATTATGGAGTTCCTTGGTGGCTAAACTATCTTCTTCTTGCCCATGGAGCCTCCTCTTTTTATTGCCCCCAGTGATCTGTCTATTACTTTCATTCTGCTGCTGTACAAATTGAGCTAAGAAGCCTGGACTATGCATTGCCTTTGCAAGGAATGACATCATCTGCTGCTGGCGCTGCTCCATTGCCTGCACACGTTGCCCAACATTTTGCAATTGGTTATCAGTCACTTGTTGTTTCTGTCTTAACCTAACAAGTTCCTGCATAAGCACATTCTTATCCCTTTTCAGTCTTCCCACCTCTTCCTCAAGCCCAAATTTCCCCACTTCAACACATGCCCTCACAGGTGAGTTATGCACTTGAGATGGTTGTTGAGTACCATTTACATGAGCAGATTTCCGCCTACTGATACTTTTTAAAAGTTGTTTCTTACCCCTTAAAAATCCTTCATTTGCAAATTCCCAGCGGTCTGGGTCAACCTTTCTAAAACCCTGCTTGTCAATCAAAAGGATATTATTGAATAAAGATTAAGACTAGAAAATATGTGTAACCTGTACAACTCATCCAGCATGATTAATCAATTATCTCTTGAGTGTATGAGATACAAGTAAATTTTCTCAGACAGCAGTAGAATAGATTTCATGAAAATTAACTAACTTCATTGTGGAGTGCCAACAAGGGGACATACATTTACCAACTTTGAAATATTGCATCAATTATAGATATAGCTAAAGAAGAGCTTATAAAAACTTAGGCAATCGTCACTTCATGAGAAAACTTTTGGATTGAGTTAGGCTCATCCCAAATTCAAGCACTGCAATCTATGATCCTATTACTTCACTGCAACAATTTTCTTACAGCATAATACCAAAGGTAATTGTCTTTAACCATGTATTTCTAATTATATCCTTTGATCCTTTATTTAACCAGCTACCCTACAGTTACCAACTTACAATCACTGCCAATGAAGGGTAAACCCTAAATGCCGGTAGCACCAGCTACTGTATCTTTAGTTTTGGCAGTCTCTCAATCTGACTATATCATTGTTTATGTGTATTATTTAATGGATTTATAGGTGATATGGGCTCTGTTTAAGGAAACTATCCTCACTTAAGAAATAGGGAGCAAAACACAAGGACCTGGAACTATTCATTGCATAATCGTTTTTTTTAAGACCCAAGTATCATAAATTATTCAACTTAAGAAGCAAGCCTTACTGCCAAACACCAAGCAAATGCAGTTCCAATTATGTTGCATAAATACAAGGCGAAAATCACATTAACTAATACATAAAACCACAATTTACACGTGTAGTTTCCTCATGATTAATACTGAATTTACTTGACTTATCTCCCAAACAACTAAATTCAGTGCAGTAAGAGAAGGGGAAAAATAAAAGAAAGAAATAAAAACAAAGAGAATCTTTGATCAAAGGTAAACCTCGGTTCTCTCACACACAATTTGATATATTTTAACTTACAACAAGAACCCAAAATTTAAAAAAGAGAGAGAGACACACACGCACGCACAACACACTCAATGATTGAAAATTTTGAGTTCACTTTGCTAACTTACTGTGAAAAACACAGATCTAACGAAGCTAATCCAAATTTACAAAAAGTCGAGCATACCAAACGAAGGTGTAAACTGACCTGCAAATTGGAGATTCATAGCAATAAATGAGAAGCCACAGCATTGAAACAAAACAACGAGAATAGAAGGGGTTCCCATAAGGCACAAACATTAAATCCAACAGAAAAGAAGAGCGATCCTTTCCATGACAAAATGAATAATAACAAAAAAGAAAAAAAGGGGTTACCCACATAAGTATTCAACTGGCGAACGAAGCTGGAGAAGTTGTTGTGCTTGAAATGGTTGGGTAAGATGTGAGTGGAGAATTGGGGAACGTTCCAAACGACGAAGGAATTGTTGTTATCACCCCACGAGACGATGGAATCGGTAGAAGGATCGTCAACCATGTCGTAGGTTTTGCTAAGGAACGGTGCCACGCTAACACTGTTCCACGATGCTCCCTCCATACCTGATCCTGATCAACACCCTTCCTATTCCCTTTCCTTTTACTGCAAACACACACACACACACACACACACAATCAATTGAAAGCAAAGTATCACACGCTCTCAAACCTCCCCTCGCTACTCTCCTTTCACTCTCTTTCTCTCTCTCACTCACTCTATCTCCTCTATATATATACATTTCACACACTTTTTCTTTTTAACATTTCTTTTCCATCAAGATAAGTAATTATTGGTATTTTGTTCAACACTATTCTAACTCGCAGTTTTTTAAATATTCGTTTTTAATTACTGGTTAAAAGTAAATTTTCAATTCGTAATATATTTTTTGTTTTCTTCCGAATCCATCCAACGGTGCTTATCACCGGGTCCATAAAATTATCTCTGCATCTTGCATTTTTTTTATATTATTCAAACATTTTAAATATTATATATATATATATATATATATTTTTTAAGACACAACCAACTTTCATTATCTATTCAGTATTCTAAATATTTAATATAATATTAACGGTTATAATTACTGTATGTACAATATTTTCTTAATCTTCACATTATTATAAAAATTATTTTTATAAAATTCTGTTGTTTTCTTGTGATGTTTAAAATAATATAAATATTTTAACAAAACTATTAAACCCTGCTTTTTGTAGAAAGTTTAAATTTTTATTATCTTTTATTCTTACAATTCTTTTAAATATTAAATATTATATATATATTTTTAAATATATGTGTATATATACACTTTTTATTCAATACTTAATCATAGTAAAATTGTTATATTTTTTTAACGTTATAATTTTTTAACTTATGCAACATCATGCAGGATAATAAATTGTATATAATAATTTTTAAAAAGTTAAAATATTTAATAGTATCAGTATATTAAATTATATTGACTTCTAAAATTTTTAATAAAAAAATATTATATATAACTTCTTATTTTCTATAATATTTTATACTTAAGAAAATAAAATTACTAAGAGAATAATAAAAAATACAACCAATATCTTTTGTAATAAAATATTTGAATAATTGAATATTTATTTTATATTTTTAGTGTTTTTAAATATATTATCGGTATATAAACTTTATTTTCTTGATTAGTTAAAATATACAATAAATAATGGCAAAACTAGTAAATAACTCCTAATTCTCAAATATTTTTTTAAACTATTTTGTTGTTTTAGTTCTCTAATTCTTAAATATATTTTGAAAAAGTTATCATACTATATTATATTTGTATATGTATGTATAAAAGTTAATTTTTTATTTTATTTTTTCTGTTAAATATTGTTTTATCACGGTTGATTATGTTTTTTTCCTTTGAATATGCTTACTTTTTTATTCAATCATATTTTTCTTTTCTAAATTAATTAATATGTCTCCTTCTATCATGAGTCAACGTTATAGAAAATTGTTCACCTTACTTTTAAACATGTCCTAAACTATTATATTATTATACCTATTAATTTGTAATTATCTTTGTACTGGATAAGAGAACTCCTCAGACCTACATATAGAAAAAGGAACCAAATACTTACTCAGTTAATGTAGACCAATATCTCTTCAGGATTTAAAGGTAAATAACTTAATTAAGGATAATAATTAAAATATTATTTAAATCAAGAAAAGAGTCAAAGTCAAGGCTGACTCAGCAGACCCAATAGCCCATTACAATGCCTATAAAAAGGGAGGTAGGAAATACAGGTGGAGGTGAATTTTTCATTATTGAATACCATTTATTACTTAGAACTGAATCCTGACTTCAGCATCGGAGTGCCTTTTGCAGGTACCCTCCCCACGTCAGCGAATACTAGAGAGACGTCATTACAGCATATCAGAGACTTGAAGATCAGTGTTACCCTTGCAGGAACATTTTGGCGCCTACCGTGGGGCCTGATTAGCCTCATATTTCAGATTAATCATGGTACTTACTAGAAGCCAGCAAGAAGGACATGCTCAACAAGGGGGAACCTCGCGGCAACATTTGGAGGGTGTCACACCAGATGAACCAACACCTGAAGTTGTGATGCAAGAAGGAACATATGAGAGTATCTTAGCTGTACTAAGGCAGCTCAAAGTAGAAATGGCGGAGATGAAGAAGGAGCGAGAGAAGGATGCAATGGAGCTTTCGACTCTGAGAAGGGAAAATGCCAACTTGAGAGAAGAGATACACATCCCTTCCCAAACTACACCCATCATCCAGGATCAGGGGGAATCTTCGGCATTGCAAGAGAAATCAAAGCAGGTTTATCAATCTGAAGCCAAAAATGACCGAGACGATCTCGCGAGTTGAAGCCCGTTCGTTCACCACATCCTGGAGGCCAAGCTGCCTGATAATTAGAGAGGCCTATCAATAGATAAGTATGATGGCACATCTGATCCTGGGGAACATCTGGATATCTTTACAACCTAAGTCGGTTTGTACACCGAGAATGATTCCTTATGGTGTAGGATTTTTCCCACCTCACTTTGAGGGCCTGCACTCAGTTGGTTCACCCGACTCCCCCTTTCATCCATCGACTCTTTTCCAACACTCGCAAGATGGTTCAACTTACAGTTCGCCACAAGCCGACCTCATCCCTTAACATCCCTCTGATAGCCATGTCGCAGTGGTATCAAAAACTACTAAATTCCTCACAAAAACATGCAGTTCAGGGAGCAACTTAGGTCATATCTCACAAGGATGCAAATGCACATTGCTCTAATCTCAATTATGCATAAAAGGTTGTATGTTTGGGGGTTTAGATGCAGAAATTGAATTGCAAAATTAAAATGCAGAAAACGAAATTACAGAGAATGAAATCGCAGAGAATTGAAATGCAGAAAACGAAATTACAGAGAATGAAATCGTAGAAAATTGAAATGCAGCAAACGAAATTGCACAGAATTGGAACCGAAAGTTAAAATCGAAATCCAGAGCATAAAAATCCAAAACTAAGATTGAATGAAAACCGAATTTGTTTAAATCTCTTCTGCACAACAAACAATTAATCAATTGATTGTTATTCGATTAAGAACAATGCACAATTCAATCGAACAATGCTTCTATACAATCGTAAAAATGTGAGATCGGAAAACAAACTCGGAGCATCAAAAACGTCTTGAACAAATGCGATCTGGACTTTGGCAATGAAATTGAAGGGGGAACATAGCATAAATCATCTTGACTTTGTAGAATCTTAAACGTCTTTCAATTGTAATTGCAAAGGCATATGAATTCAGAATGGAAAAATGCAAGAAAAGAAGAAGAATGGTAAAAAAATTGAGAGGTTCTATTGGAAGCAGGAAAGGTATTGCAAACTGAAAAATGAAAAAATGAATCAAAAGTCCTCCCCAATCAGCCCCTGACCTCTATAAATACTAATCCTAAAAGAGCAAAAACCGAGTGGGCCAAAGTTGGGCCGAAATTAAATACAAAAGAACTGCAAAATAAAAGCAAAATAAAAACTATACAATAGTCAACTAAAAGTATAAACTTCTAAAATTCGTAGAAAATAGCTCCGGGATCCAAACAGCAAGATCCAAATATCCAAATTAAAGCCCCAGAAGTAAGGAATGCAATGCAAAAAGAATCATCCAAAAAGGATATCTACAGAAAACGTTATAGTCAAATTAGTAACCAAAGGTCAGAATAGAAAATATGAACAAAAGTATAGTATTTACGAAAATTCCTAATTATCAAGATAAATGCAAAAACATATTAAATGGAAGAAATAAGGGAATGAAAAGACATGCAAAGAATGCAATAAGACTAAAAATGTGCGAACAAAATATGAGCTATCACCCTCGCGCTGGTCAATATTCGCCAAGAAAAGGGAGAGTCACTTAGAGCATTCATGGAATGGGGCAAAGTGACCCTGTCAATTCATAATTTGGAACCAGCAGTGGCTATGCACCACCTCACCACGGCCCTAAAGTCAGGACCTTTTGTTAATAGCATCTGCAAAAAACCACCTGTCGACCTAGACGAGTTAAGAAATCGGGCTGCAAAGTATTTGTAGATGGAAGAATTGTCTGAATACCGAAACTATGTGCGGATGGACCAAGGGTCCAATTCAAAAAATACAGACAAGAGAGAAACTTTCAAGGCTAGGCAGGAAAATAAGGAGAGAAGAAATGAGCTTGAAAGGCCGACTAGGGGACCTAAATATCCTTCCTACACTACACTCAATACCAATCGGTCCCGAGTACTTGACCAGGCACTGGCCACAGAAATATTAAGAATGCCTAGACGTGCCAACACTCCTTCTTGGGCAGACAAAAGCAAGGCTTGCCGCTATTATCAAAATAGGGATCACACCACCGAAGAGTGCACTGCGCTGAAAGATAAGATTGAAGAATTAATCAAGGAAGGACATCTAAAAGATTTTGTGCAGACAAGTCCTGTCGGTTAATCTAACAGAAGAAGAGACTGTAACCCTGAGTCATCAAGCAGATATGACAATAGACATAAACGACAGAGGAGTAGGTCCCGGGAACCTCCAACTAGACGATATGATGAATGTGAAAAGTATCCTAAAAGGGTCATTAATACCATAGCTAGAGGGTTTGCCGGGGGAGGACATACCCATTCGGCCAGAAAGAGACACTTGAGACAAGTCAGATCAGTCAATAATATCTCACTTGGAAGTGGAATTCGGATCCCCCCAATTACATTTACTGATGAAGACTTTCAAGGAGTGGATCTTGTACAAGACGACCCCATGGTGATCAGTGTGGACATTCTCAATTGCACAGTCCGGAAAACACTCATTGATTAGGGAAGTTCTGCTGACATACTCTACTGGAATACTTTCAAACAACTAGAATACCAGAAGAAGAACTAAAAGAATACCGAGAACCCTTAGTCGATTTTTCAGGGGAACAGGTAGAGACGCGTGGGTGTATCGACCTTTACACCTCATTTGGATCAGAGCATGAAGGAAAGCGCATCAAGATCACGTATCTGGTAGTTCATGCAAATACCTCGTATAATATCCTACTCGGCATACCATCCCTAAACAAGTTGAAGGCCATAGTATCTACTCCGCACTTGGCTATGAAGTTCCCATCTGAAAGAGGCCGAATCGTTATAGTCCACGCTGATCAGAAGACAGCTAGAGAATGCTACTTTGCAAGCCTACGTCTTAAACCTTTC